GGGGGGGGCCGTGATACCCCACGTGCGTCCGGGAAGGCGAAGGGATGTCACGGAGTCATCAGTGGCAAGAGGCTGGAGCGGGGCAGCTCCTGGCCGGGAGCCCCAGGCCCTGTTCTGGGACTGGTTGGGAAGATCAAAGGATTTAATCCCGGGATTTGAACCGCGGCTGGGAGCAGGGCGGGTGGAGGGGGCACTTGGTACTTTGGGCAGTTTTTCATTCCAGTTTTGGCATCTTGGGCAGCGCCAGCGCGTGCCAGCAGCAAACCCTCCGGGGACTTCTCCTCCAGTATCAAATTCCACGGCCCAGGATAACTGTCACACGGGGCTGGGATGAAAGCACCGCATTGATCCCAGATAATAAATTGCTCCTTAGCAGGATGGTAGGAATGAAAACCACAGCCCTGATACGAGGATGACGGGCAGACTGGGGTGTCTCCTGCCGTGCAGGGATGGCTGCTGGAGCCAGAGGAGCAGCCCAGGGCTGGATCCTGCCCCAGTCCCAGCCCAGGCACAGAGGGGTCCTGCACAGGCCCCGTCCTGCGTCCCAGCCCGGGACTCCACTGCAGTCCCAGCCCAAGCTGGATCCTGCCCAGGCCCAGCTCCTGGCCAGGCATGGGGAGTCCCCAGCTGGCAGATGGGGGTGGAAAGAGCATCCCAGTGGATTGGAGCATCCTGGGATTCTGGAACATTCCAGGAGGGAACAGGGCATGGAGGGGTGGGGGGACCGGAGCAGACGGGGGGCTGGAGCACCCAGGGTGGGGATCAGTGAATCCTGGGGCATTGGAGCATTCCACAGGACAGGAACATCCAGGGAGGGGCTTGAGCTTCCTGGGGGGGTGGTGGTGTCAGAACTACATGGCCCAAGCTTGAGTCGCCCCCCCGAGGGCAACTTTGGAGTGCATAAGTCTCAACTGGAGCCCCTCAGTTCCCAACGAGGCCACCCACCAACCTGTCACAGGGAGGTCGATGTATGAAATTTATTTAGGAAAACCAAAACCCACCAGAAAAGAGAAATAATAATAAAGTAGGAGGAGAAGGGGGTGAAGGAGGTGGAGAAGTTGGAAGAGAAGGAGGAGGAGGAGGAGGAGGAGGAGGAGGGGAGGAGAAAGAGGAGGAAAAAAGAAGGAGAAAGGGGAGGAGGAGAGGAAGAAAGAGAAGAGTCGTCTCCTCCTCAGGCTCCGTTGGAGCCCAGAACAACCAGTGCTGCGAGAGGGAAGGACGGAAAAGCTGGAGGAGGTTTGCACACCCACACACGCCCAGGCACACTCGTGGGTGAGCTGAGCTGGGCTGGCTGTGCTCCCCCGGATCCAGAGGGGTATGTACAGGGGCGGGAGCCAGGAAAGCATCGACCACCTACGCACACCAGCAGCGGGGGGCTGGAAAAGTGGGATACAGCTGGGAAACAGGCATCCCTGCGTGACCCCCCGTGGTGTGGCACCCTGGATGCAGAACCCAAGCGCAGGACACCCCCACATCCATCGGGTGGAGAGACCCCCGCATCACCAGGCACCCCTGGGTCGGCACTGGGATGCGGGGCCCATCTGGGAGCAGTTGTACCCCCTGGAATGTCGGTGCCACAGCCATGCCAGCGCCACGCCGGGGATGGAGCCGCTGTCCTCCTCTTGCAGCTTGGGGGTTTGCTGCCTTCTGGGACCCCCCGGGTGGCGTGGGGAAGGGAGAAGGGCTTGAGGGGGCCTTGGGGACAAAGCCGTGGGCCAGCAGCCAGACGCGGTCACCAGGTGGGTCCCACCAGGGCTCGGGCAAAGCGTCTCGCTCAAGGCATCTCCGAGTAGGTAAGGCAAAAGGAACTCAGGTCACTTCATCTGCGTGGGGCAGCTCAGCGCTGGGCTCTCCCGTGGCTGCTGCAGACACACGCTCCAGGGATCCCAAGAACACAGGAATGAAGGCATTGCTTACGGACGAGCCCAGGAGAGGAACGGCCTCAGTGTCGCCCAAATCCTGGAGGGACCTGCTGTGCACCACTGGGATGGTGCCATGGAGTACTGCAGAGGAGTGAGGATGGCACAGCAAATGGCCCCACGTCCACTCTTGAGCCTGGTGGGACCAGCATCCGTGGGACTGATGCCAGCAGTGCCAGAATTTCACCATGCTGCTCCCATCGCCTGCCCCTGCTCTGGTGGTGAACCCACGCAGCTCGCACGAGCTGGGTGATGCAGCCTGGGGGCTCAGTGCACCTCAATCCCTTGGGGCTCAGCTCCCACCCTCATCCCTGACACCCCCTTTGGCTGACCCCCAGCAGGGCAAGCTGCTCACCACGGTTTCCCTGCTCATGGGTGTTTCAAGTGGCTTTGGATGGGGTGACAGAGCCCTGGGTCACACACAGCTGGACCCTGTGGGGCTGGTGGACCCCCTGGGGCTGAGGGGGTCCATAGGGGTTCAGCTGTGGCACTGGAGGGACCACAGGAAGGTCAGCAAGGTCCACGCACGGTGGTCTGTAGGAGAGGAGGAACCATGAAAGACCATGAGGGTCCAGGTAGGGTGGTCTGCAGGGCCAGAGGAACCACAGGAGGTTGGTGGGGTGCATGCACGGCTGTCAGCATGACAGGGGAGTGGTGGGAGACTATCAGGGTCCATGGGCGGCCAGAGTGACCACGGGAGACCAACAGCATCCGTGCACAGGGCCAAGCAGGAGCAGAGGGAGCCCAGGGCACTGGCAGGGTCTGTATGGCTGGAGCTGTGAAGCCACTGCGAGCCAGGGGTGCTCCCGACACGCTGGGCACCAGGGAAGCTGCTTGCAGTGAGGAGGCTCCTGGGTGGGCACCACAGGAACACCCACGCAGCGGGGACACGGTGGGGACACAGCAGGGACACGGATGGGACTGGATGGACCCCCTGTGGAGCACAGCCCCCTCCCCGTGTGTGCAAAGCAGAAGCAGGGCCCCCAGCCTTGGCACACGTGTAGCCCTTGCAGGGGACGTGGCTGCATGGGACTGAGCTGGGCGAGGGATACGAGTCCTTCCATGGGTGAGCGGATCCAGGGGTCCCAGGGAGGGGGGGATGTTAGCCAACAGATGCTCAGCAGCTACTGGGAAGAGGCCAGAGCAGGTTCTCCGGGGTGGGACCCAGCAGGGCATGCAGGCACAGAATCCCCATGGCCATCCTGCTCCAGGTGCCTCTTCCCTCCTCCAGCTGGAGCCAACCTCCTTCCATGGGCCAGATCCACAGAAACACACACCTCCACTCTGGAGCCACTCCGTGGCTCTCCCACTGCCCCTCACCATCCTGCCATCCCCCTCTGTCCCGCTGACCCTCACACACCCATTTCAGGGACACTGCCCCCTCCAGGGCTGCTTCCACTGAGGACTCGTTCTCATCGTCACCCCACGGGGACAGGGCCTGCAGCCTTAAGGCAGTTTAAAGCACATCCATCCCCCAGCCCCACAGTGTCCCCTGGTGCTCCCAGCCAACAGGGCAGTGTCCCAGGGCCCACCGGGTGGAGGGGACACCTGGACACCTGCCCCAGAGGGAGGAGACAGTCACCCACTGGTGGGGAAGGGCCAGCGGTGGGTGCTGGCAGCGCACAGCCCTTGCTGTCATGGTCCAGAGTCACTGATGTCCCCCCAAAACTCCCCCCCATGGTTTGGGGGCTGAGGCTTGGGGATGCTCCTGGCCCAGCCGTGGCTGTGGCCCCCCCATCGCCTCCCTCACTCGGCCGCGGCCTCGGGGGGCTGCCCCACCTCGGGGTCCAGGCAGCCATTGAGCTGGGGGTCCGGGGCCTGGGGGTCATAGTCCTCATCCAGAAAGTCCAGGGAGTTGTTACTGGGCAAGCCTCGGATGGTGAATTTGTGGGAGACCTTGGTCCACTGCTCCCGGTTGCTGGCCACCCGCTCGTAGAGCTCTGCTGCCTTGGGGAAGAGGTCCTGCAGCAACCTGGGGGTGGGGGGTACACCCCATCAGCACGGGGCTGCACCTCCTTAGCTGGGTGGAGCCCCATCCCTACTGCTTGGAACCCCCATCCCCAACAAGACACCCCGTGCAGCACCCCTGAGAGGGGTGGGGGTGGCAGGGGGTCCCCCCCACCCCAGTGCCAGCCCCGGGGCTCACTTGTAGATGGGCATGGCGATGTGCTCCATGAAGCTGATCTGCAGCTCGGGGATGTAGGCTTTCTCTCGGTCCATCATCTCCAGAGGGCTGTTTCCCATGGCTTTCTCCTGCACGGATAGTGTGGGAGGGGGGTCAATGCCAGTGGCACTCCCCCACCCCATTCCTGGGCAAGACTTCCCTGCTCACCACCCACCCCCACATCCCATTCTCTTTGACGCTTGCCAAGGGCGTTGGCCAAGCCCAGCCCTGCCAGGTGGCACCTACCAGGTCACCCTGGGAGAAGAACTCCTTGTAGATCAGCTCCTGCAAGGGAAATGTGTCAGTGTAGGGGGTGCAGCCTGGGCTGACCCCCCAACCCCTGCCCTCCAGACCCCTCCCCACAGCTCTGCATGGGGCAGGGACACAGTCCTGGCATGGGAGGACTGCTGCACCCTCCAGGGTCCTGTGGGGAGGGACCCCCTGCACGAGGGGCAGGTGGGTCCCTGGTGCCATGCAGGTGATCTGGGGGGGTTGTGGGGTGGTGTTCAAGGGGCAGTCCCATGGTGTGGCACTCACTGCAATCTTCCTGGTGGTCTTCCAGCCCTTGGTCTGGTCAGAGAGGTCGCAGGAGGTCATGAGCAGGCAGAGCAGCAGGCTGCGGTGCTGCTTGTTCTTGGGGTCATACCCCACTGCGGGCAGAGAGTGGGCAGGGGTTGGAGTGGGGGGCTCAGGAAGGAGCTCCACAGCCCCACCACTCCACATTTGAGGACTCTGGGGACAGCCAGGACCTCCCATGCCACCTCCCAGCTTTGGTGGGATGAGTTACCACCACCCCCCCAGTCCCAATCTCAGTCCCGGGAGCTTCACCTTCTGCCATTTTCTGGAGGTCCTTGAAGATGCGGAGGTGGTGGGCCAGGTCAGTGGCCAAGATGATGTCCCTCATCAGGTCCAGCATGCGCTGGTAGTCCTGTGGACAAGGCAGCTGCCGTGACCAGCTCTGTGCCCCTGCCAGCTCCCGGATCCCCAGGGATCCAGGGATGGGGAGCTGGGGGTCTGGAGGGGACACAGGGGCTCAGCAAGGGCAGGGGGTGGCCCAGGAGGGGCATCAAGGTGGGGGGCTCACCTTTCGGGAGAAGTGGTCAAAGATGTTGCAGCCTTGGCTGTTGAGGATGGCGATGGCTTGGGCAAAGTGATGCCTCTGCGAGAGAAACCAGGATGGTGGGAGCAGGCAGGGAGCAGGCAGGGAGCAGGCAGGGATGCTGGCACACAGCCAGAACCCCAGAGAGCAAGGCAGGGGGAGGTCTGGGGGGGGTCTTACCTCCATGACAGAACCCTCGGAGCTGTAGAGCGCGGCCAGGACCGATTTCTGCAAGGCAGAGCAGCCGGAGTGATGGAGCTATGGGGGCGAAGAGGCCCCCCAGCTCTGCCCCTGTCCCCGTGCCCCCCACCCCTGCCCATCCCAGCACTGGGCTCGGCTCACCGAGGCCACCTGGAAGGAGTTATTGGTGCCTCTGTGGTCCAGGTCGTGGCACATGCAGGAGATGAAGAGGGCAAAGATCTCGATGTCTCTGGGGAGGGGGAGGAGGGAAACTGAGGGAGGCAGGAGGGCAGGGAGCACCCCAGCTGGGCCAGGGGATGAGGGACAAGGAGAGGGATGGCACCTGGCCTTACTCCAGATAGTTGACAAGCTCCAGGTTCTTGTAGAGCAGGTAGCAGAAGTGGGAGACGGAGAAGGCGTGCATCCAGTTGTGGTAGGGTGGGTCACGGTACCCCTTCTTCACCATCAGGCAGAACCTGGCAGGGGAACAGGCCCATGCAGGGGGCAATCTCACCTCCTGGGGACCTCTACCTGGCCAGGTGTCCCCGGGCAGTCATGGGGTTGGGGATGGAGAATGGGATGGGGATGAGGATGGGACGGGTTGGGAATGGGGAAAGGGACAGGGATGGGGACAGAGAAGGTGGATCATGATGTTGATGTGGATGTGGTTGTGGATAGGCACTGGGACAGGGACAGGAACAGCAATGGGAATGTGGATGGGGATGGATACAGGGAAGGGAGCAGGGAAAGGAGTGGGATAGGTGCAGGGAAGGTGGACGATGATGAGGATGGGGATGAGAGGGTGGATAATGGAGAAGGATTGAGACCCACCTGGTGAGCGTCTGACGGTCCATCTTGTAGTTGTTGATGAAGTTCATGTCCTGCAGCATGCTCAGGATGGCCTGCAGAGGGGACAGGGTGGGTGGCAGGGGGTGACAATGCCCACCATGAACCACCCCTGCCCACAGGGAAATGCTCAGGGATGCAGCCACATGCCCCCATCCCAGACCCCCAGAGCTGATGTATGTGACCTGACAGAGGGCAGCAGGGGACAGTGGCAGCCGAGGACTGTCCCCACAGCCCTCACCATGGAGGTGTCGTCCTCGGGCAGGGAGCGTGGTGTGTAGGTGAAGCTGGCAAAGTTGGGGTCGATGGTGGACACGGGCTGGATGCCCTCGCTCAGCAGCTTGGTGTACTCATCATCTGACACCTATGGGAGCCATAGCCAGTGAGCCATGCTGTGACCAGGTCCCCAGAGGGACCCAAGGGCCACATGAGCCACAGTGAGAGCAGAGAGCTCTGGGATATCAACGTCACCCCACTGTGCCACCACCTCGGGGTGAAGTGTGGGGGCACCACACCGGAAGCAGGGGTCCCACCCCTGTCCCCATCCCCACCCCTGTCCTCATGCCACCTCACCTTCATGTGGTACATCATCATCTCGTTGGCCAGGTGGCTTCGGTACTGTGCCTCATTCACCTTCTTGTACAGCAGGGACTGCGGGGTGGGATTGGGGTACGGGAGCGCTGGGGGTGGTCAGACACCCTCCAGCACCCCCAGCCCACCCTGGCACCCCAGCACATCCTTATCCCCACGTCTGCCCTCCCCATCCCACGGCCACCACCGCTTGTCCCCACGGAACAGGGACCACACAACACGTCCCCTCGTCCCTCTGTGCTGTGGCAGAGCCGGGGTCCCCCCTGTGTGTGACCCCCCCGGGCTGGGCCCCCCCGGCACGCACGTGGGCGATGCTGATGCCGCAGTAGATGGAGAAGGCGGTGGCCAGGTCCTCGTCGAACTTGCTGAACCAAGGGCCGTTGATCTTGTTGACCAGCTCTGCCACCCCGATGACCTCTGGAGCAGAGGGGGGGCAACGGGGGGGTCAGGCCCGCGTGCTGGGGACAGTGCCACGTCCACGTGACGGGTGACCAGACCACCACGTGCTGACGGAGGCACCCGTGCCCCCCATGCTGGTGTGCCCCCCATGCTGGTGTGCCCCCCATGCCGGTGTGCCCCCCTGGCCCCCTCACCCTGGCTCTCGTTCTTGATGGGGAAGCAGAGGATGTTGCGGGTGCGGAAGCCGGTGCTGTCGTCCACCCCGCGGTAGAAGAGCGGGTGTGAGTAGGCATCCTTGATGTTCAGGATCTTGCCGGTGGTGGCCACGTGCCCGGCGATGCCCTGGTCCGCCGGGATGCGGATCTCGTAGCTCTGCGGGCAGGAAGGGGGGCGTCACCAGCAGGGCTTGGGGGGCGGGACACACCCCCGGACCGCCCAAGTCCACCCCGCTGGCCCCGCGCTCACCTCGTCGTCCACCACGCCGCCGTCGAACACCTTGGCCACCAGCTCGTGGCTGAGCCGGTCCAGCAGGAACACGGAGCATCTGCAAGGGGCGCCGCTGCCGTTGGCACGCACAGGGGAGCCCCGTGTCCCCTCCGTGTCCCCCCACCCGTGTGCCCCCCTCCCACTCACATCTCGGCGTTGCTGAGGTTCCGGGCCTCCGTAATGATCTCCTGGAGCAGGACGGACACGTCATCTGTGGAGGGTGCAGGGCAGGGTCAGGGACCCCCAGTGGGGCAGCACGGCCCCCCACCCCACACTCGGGCAATGGAAGGGGTGGGCTCAGCTCAGGGGCACAGCAGGAAGGATGGTGGGCACGGATGGACAGGGCTCTCTGTGTGTGTGGCATGTGAGCAGCACATGCGTGTGTGCAGCAGCACCTACGTGTGAGCAGCAGTGCCCATACGTGTGAGCAGCAGTGCCCATATGTGTGTGCAGCAGTGCCCATACGTGTGAGCAGCAGTGCCCATAAGTGTGTGCAGCAGCGCCCATATGTGTGTGCAGCACATGCGTGTGTCCAGCAGTGCCCATACATGTGAGCAGCAGTGCCCATATGTGTATGCAGCAGTGCCCATACGTGTATGCAGCAGTGTCCATACATGTGTGCAGCAGTGCCCATACATGTGTGCAGCAGTGCCCATATGTGTGAGCAGCAGTGCCCATACATGTGTGCAGCAGTGCCCATACGTGTGAGCAGCACACACGTGTGTTCTGCAGCAGCACATGTGCACACGTGTTCCTAAGAGCTCCGTGGTCATGCCACATGCACACGTGCAGCCGTGCAGCGTCACTGTATGCCAGGCTCTGTGCCAGCTCATGTCACCCCTCTGTGACCATCCCCCAGCAAGGGGACAGGGTCCTCCCTGGCTGGGGACAGACCCCAGTGCCACCGCCCCCCGTGTGCTCCCTGCCATGGGGGCTCTCCCGTGCACCTACCCAGGTGGGTGAAGAGGTTCTTGGCCACCTGCAGCAGAGCCTGGGGGGACAGAGGGGATGCCATCAGTGACCAGCACGAGATGGGACACACACACACACACACACACACGTGTGTGACACGGCCCCACAGGCGCTCACCTGGCACTCACACTTGAGCTTCTGCTCCTTCTGGAAGGCCAAGGTGCTCGTGAGCACCGTGGAGGTGTAGCAGAAGCAGTGCTGGATCTTGTGCTCATCCGTGTCCGTGTAGCTGGCGGGGGGACACCTCAGTTCCCTGTCCCCACTGGCCACCCCCCTTCCTCTACGGTGACAGCGCTCCAGCACCCCCAAAGCAAGGGGGTGCAGCCCCACAGAGCCCCGGCCAAGCCACCGCTCACCTCTCCCCGCTCAGCTTGTTGAAGGCGCAGGCCAGTGCCACCACCTGGGAGGTGGCCCGGCTGATGACAGGGACACAGAGCATGGAGGTGACCTCGCAGCCCAACATGCTGCTCAGCTGCTTGTGCTCCTCCTGCGGGCAGAGGTGAGGAGGGGGTGGAACCAGCACCGCCGGCCGCCCCCGGGAGGCACCGGAGTGAGCCCTGTGTGTCCCCAGGGGCAGGGGGGACACGGCTGGTACCCACCTCGCTGATGTCCTTCAAGGTGATGGGCTTCTTGTCCTCCACCACCTGCCCCAGGCGCCCGAAGGTGAGCTGCGGGGGGAGGGGACGAGTGAGCCCTTGGTACCTCCTGTCCACCCCCCAGACCGCCCACCCCTCACCACCCCCGCCCCGCTCACCGAAAAGCTGATCTCCTCCTCGAGGACACGGTCCCCCACCACCTGCAGGAGACGGGGGGAAGGAGGTGCCCTTGAGGATGAAGCCATGCTCAGGGGGTGTCCTGGCACCCGCTGGGGGGTCAGGGTTGGGAGACCCTCGTGGCACCCACCTGGCAGAAGAGCTGGTGGTTGTCCTCGGAGACGAGCAGGAGGCAGCAGCACAGCGACTGGGTCTCCTGCTTCAGCTGAAGGGATAGCAGGGGGTCAGCACCCCAGCCTGCCCTGAGCACTCCCAGGGCAGGATGTGGCCCCTCCTCTGCCTCCCTGTGCCCAGGGCACCCACACGTGCCCTACAAAACCAGGTGCCCCACCCCAGAACCTCTTCCCTGCACCTGGGCAGGGTCGCTCTGGAAATCACTGATTGCAAGGGCAAGGCTGTTCACCGGACACTACTGGGGGTTGTGTACAGGGTGCTAGAGAGCAGTTTTTGGGGTGAGGGTGGCGCTGTTAATTCTGGAGACTATGGATGGTTGTGACGAGGCTGTTCACTCTGGTCACAGCTGATGGCTGCACAGCTGACGCTCGAGGCATTTCTCTGCTCTGGGGAATTTTCTTCTGTTTTGAAATAAAACAGGGCTCCCTGGTGTGTCCCGGGGCTCGGGGCAGGCGGGGCTCGGGGCCGGCGGGGGGACTACTCACGTAGTTGATGACTTTGAGCTGCAGCGAGGCGGCATCCAGGTCGTAGAGCTCACCTGTGGGAGGGGTCACAGTGCCGTGAGGGGCCGGGCACGGTTCCACCCTGCACACAGACACCCCTCCCGGAGTCCCCCACTCACCACAGAGCTGCAGGATCTTGCAGTCCAGGTCGCTGTAGCTGCTCTCAGGTGCCTTCTCGGGCTTGGCCAGGGACGTCTGGGAGGAACTGGTGGAGAGGCTGACCTGGGGCCAGGGCTGCAGCTTCTGCAGGGCTTGCAGGCGCCGGAATGCCACCAGGGCCTGCAAGTGGGGCAGAAAGGACAAGGAACAGCAAGGCTTGGGGGGGGTCACAGGTCCCCAGGTGGCAGGTCCCACAGTGCAGAGGGAGTCACTCACATGTTTCTCCAGTGCACGAAGGTTCTGCTCATCCGAGTCACTCAGCTGGCCACAGTGCACCTGGAGGGGGAGTGATGTGAGGGCCCCCATGTCCAGGCCCTGTCCCTGTCCTCCAGAGTCCTACCCGTGTCCCCACACTCACCAGGATGACACACACCACGGCCCCACTGTTCTTGTCCACCAGCGGGATGATGAGCACTGTGAGCGAGACAGGGTCAGTCCTGGGTGGAGCTCAGCTCTTGAGGTGCATGTCCTCGCTGTGCCCCCATGTGTTGTGACCCACCCACCCAACCATCCTCCCCTGCAACCCTCCATCCACCCACCAACCCATTTATCCATCCATTCATCCTTCCACCCATCCACGTCCTCACATCTCCACCCCTCCACCTACCCATCACCCGTCCCCTGAGACCCCCCTTCCCTGCAGCCCCCACCTTGCGTGCCAGGGGCCAGGGGCGCTGCCAGGGGGCCCAGGTGCCGGCCAGGGAGCTCGGCAGGGAGCAGCCCCCCACATTCCAGCCGCTTCTGCTTCCGCACAGCATCCCTGCGGGGACAGGGACACTTTGAGAACCCCCTGGGAAGGGCACCTGGGCAGAGAAACCCCTGGAAAGGGGCAACCTCCTGGGCAGGTAGACGTGTGTCCCTGCACACACACACACACACACACAGCCCCTGCGCTCACACGTGCACACCCAGGATGAGGATGAGGACGGGAAGGGAAAGGAGATGGGCACGAGGATGGAGCAGGAATGAGGACGGGGATGGGGTCAGGGGTGGGAAACCTCGTGCCCCCTGTGCACACGCCTGTGGGTGCACAGCAGCCAGGCCACACCCGTGTGCCCACGCCCAGGCCGGGGGGTGGCTGAGCTCACCTGAGCTTCCCGTCGGGGGGCAGCTCGTGGGGGGGGTCGTCGCAGAGCAGCCGCGTGTCCCCATCCAGCAGGTAGATGTAGACGTGCTCCTGGGGGCAGGGGGGCAGCACACACGTGTGTGCAAACACACGTGCACACCCACACACGTGTGTGCAAACACACGTGCACACCCACACACGTGCACACCCACATTTGCACACACACACACACACACGTGGATACATCCTGAACACACACACAGAGTCATGCATGTGTGCACACGCCTGGACACACATGTGCACACACCTGCACATGCGTGCACGCACCTGCACACATGTGCACCATCCACACCCGGCCATGGCCAGGGCTCCCCGTGGAACGGCTCTGGCACAACGCTCACCAGCACCAGGGCCATCGGGATCAGGGACACCAGCACCCCCAGGGACACCAGCACCCTCGGGCCATCACGAGCACCAGGGCCACCCCCAGCACCCTGGCCCATACAGGGGGAGAATTGTGCAGAGGGATGGGGACAGGGAGACCCCAGCCCAGGCTCAACCCCAGAATCAACCAAAGAAATCAAGCAACGAATCCACCCTCCATCCCCTCCCAGGGCTCCCCCCAGCCCAGGGGGTCTCAGCAACCCCACAACTCCCAGGATGCTCTGCCCCCCGCTCCCCGCAGGCCCCCACGTACCACGGCGGGCAGCAGGGTGACGAGGGCGTGGCGGAGGGCATCCCGCAGGGCGGGGGCATCCAGTGCAGCGCCCAGGCTCAGCAGAGCATCCTGCAGGGAGGGCACAGCAGAACGGGGCGTCACCGGGGCCCCACACCAGAGGGAGGGGCACTGCGGGATCCACCCTCCCTCACCCCACCATGGCACGGGTCCTCCTGCCCTCAGACCCTTCGCAGCTGCCTCCAGACTGCCCGGAGACTTTTGGGGGACCAAACCCTCCTGTTGTGGTCAATGTCCATGATGGGGGATACGGACACATCCCAGAAAGGGGGGGAGGCTTTGACACTGAGCCACACTGCCCTCGGTGCTAACCATGCAGCTAGCCAAGCACCACTGGGAGGAGAAATGGGGCAAGATGGATAAAAACTTATCTGGGGAAAGCTGGGGGGCACAGGGGCCTCCGTGGTACAACCCTCCCAGGTCTGCTCCTGCCTCCAGCCCTCGTCTGGGAGACCAGGATGAGGATGACGTGATGATGGGAATAGTGGATGCTCCGAGTCAGACACCAGACAACAGCTCTGGGATTTGCTCTTCCTTCAGTCCTCGCTCTGCCAGGCAGCTCCAGGCTGCATCCCTGACAACCAGACCCGGGGACCGTTCCCAACCCTGCCCCCCAGGGTTTCCCCCCGGGACAGCAGCCCCTCGCCATGCCACCCCACCCCTCCACCCGGGGACACCCTCGGCCGCGGGGCGGGATCCGATGGCGGTGGGAGCGCGGCTGGAGGCGAGGGCGCTTCCGGCTGGAGACAGCGGCGCTGGATGTTATTCCAACAGGGCCGCATCTCCAGTCACTTACACACACTGGAGACACATGCACTGTAGAATACAGCCAGGCCTGGGCCAGGTGGCCGTCCTGCCGTCCCTCTGTCCCACCGGATCCTCCACAGCGGCCCCCCCAGGGGCGGGGGGAGATGGGGCAAAGTCTGAGCAGGACCCCGGGAATGTTTGGGTGTCACGTGCCGGTGGCACACTTGGCATGAGGACAGACAGGTGGCAACTGGACATGGGTGGTGGCTTTAATAGGGCTGGGAATGCGGGTCCTTCTCTGGAGTGGTGAGGGGAAAGCTGCAGGAGCTAAAAAAAAGATGTTCCCGAGATGAGGCGAGAGCGGCGCGGGCAGGCAGGGAAGTTTGCAGAGGAGGAGGCAGGGGGAGTGAGGGTGGGCTGGGAAGGGCATCGCACTCATTCCACTTGTTCCACTGATGCCAATAAATGGCTCGTCTCACTCACCCCATCATCCCACTCAGCCTACTCACCATATTAATCTAGCTCATCCTACTCATCCCATTCAATGGCTCATCCAACTCAAACACTTGTCCCACTCATCCTGCTCATCCCACTCAACCACTCATCCCCCTTATCCCACTCACCTTGCTTGTCCCATGCATCCAGCTCACCCCACTCATCCCACTCAACAGCTTGTCCCACTCGTCCCGCTCATCCTGCTCATTCCACTTGTTCCACTCATCCTACTTACCCCACTCATCCCATTTGTCCCACTCATCCCATTCCCAGCTCAGAGCAGGGGTTTGCCCCGACACCCTCACCCCATGTGACCCCATGTCCCTCAGGCCTGGGGGTGCTGCAGCCCCGCTCTGGGGGCTCTGCCAGGACACGGCCTGGGCCTGGAGCCAGCACAGCCACATCCTGGGTATTGCCATAAACAGCCTCTCCCATGGGGTTGCCCATGTCCCACTCCCAGGACTCCATGCCATGGGCCCCAACCAGGCACCACCCCAGTTTGGGTGAGGTTCCTCCAGATCCATCTCTGCTCCACGGATACCGGGGCATTTGGATGCATCCCTGGTGCAATGGGATGCTCCAGCACCAGCACGGAGATGAAGCTATTGGCTACCCCATGTCTGTCACCAGGAATGTCACCAGGACCCACCAAGCCAGGCTCATCCAGCTCATCCAGCTCTGTACCTGCACCCCTCTCCCAGGGGGCAGTTCCCAGTGCCTGCACCGCATCCCAGCTTCCATGGAGAGCAGAGCTATGGTAATGCTTCCCAAGGCACGGTGGGTTAATTAACTTCACTAAAACAGGAGGAGGCACAGAGGGATTGCAATTCCCAGCTGCTGAAGCAGAGCCCGATGCCCTCATCAGAGCCCAATGCCCTCATCCCAAGCACTGCACACCCAGCAACTCCGGAGGAAAATACTGCCTGGAAACGGGATGCCTGGAGACAGGCATGGAGAGGACTTTGGGAGCAGATCCCAGGGCAGGGTATGGGGCAGGGGACGTGGCATGGCATCACCAACAGCCCCAGGAGCTGAGGATGCTGATGCTGCTGCAGAGCAGGTGAGCAGCACCCTGTCCCTATCCAGGTTCCTGCCTTGTCCCCATGGCCCCGTGGGACTCTCACCCACAGAATGTTGTCACCCTTGCTCTGGCCTGAGAGGGCAGGGATGGTGGTCTCACTCTGCTGAACTCCTGAGCTGACAGGGTGACCCTGGGGACCGTGATACCAGCAGGAATTTTGCCAGCTGCCCTTGGCCAGCATCCCATGGTGCGGTGCAACACCAGAGCTGTATCTGCCTCAGTATTCCTGCTGGAGCTGGTGGGTGATTAATGACACCATTCATCTCCTTAGAGTAAGGATCTGTCTCTGCTCCAACACAGACTCCTACTCTGGCTCCAGTAAAGCCAAATCCCACCACAGCCCAGCCTCCGGAGCACTGCCAGCTCTCCCTGCCGTGGAAAATGGCCCTTTTCAATTTTCCCTCTATTTTTTCCCCACTTTTTCCCTTTGGAGAGTGGCAGTAGCATCCCATCCCCAGCCATAAGGTGGTGGGAAACCCCAGCACAGTCCTCCCAACACCCATTCCAGGCTTACACAGACCCAGCTGGGATGGAAAAGCAGCTTTTCCCTCCCAGTGGAGGGAATTCAGCAGCAGTGAAAAGGAGGCTATCTCTCCTTTTTTCAGGAGGGACAGCCACGCCTGTGCTCTGCTCCCCACGCTGGCCACAGCACATTGGTTTGTCCCCCCCTGACACCCTCAGCCCCTCTGGATGTTTATGGAATAGAGAAATCCCATCCTGGATGGCTTCCTCTCAGGAAAGGCTCATTTCACACCTGCCACGGGGAGGGTGGGGGGGACACCAAGGGTTTGGGGGGGTCTCACTGACCTCACAGGGTCTCAGTCCCTGGACTTGCACCCCTTCCCCTGGCCTTGCTCCTGGGAGATGAATGGAGACCCCCGGGGTGAGGAGGAGCCCCCAGGAGCAGGCAGAGGCCAGATCCAGTGCAGTGAGGCACCCGCTGGGGTGTGCAGCCCCCTTGAGGGTACCTGGAATTTGGGATCTCTCCCGGGAGGGAACACTCGGCCACTTGGCAAGTAGAGCTTGTACCAGGCAGAGCTCAAATCCAGGACCTGCCATGCACAGGACTCCTCTTTAGCCACGGGGAAGCTGAGCCAGGCAGCAATGCCTAGTGCCTGGGAGCATCCTGCTCCTGGGGGAATGCTGAGCCAGGCTGCAGGACCCCCACCCTGCCTTGCAAGGGGATCCTGGGCCAAGGGGGCCCCAGATGGATCCTGCCATGGCTGCTGGAGCACCTATGGGTGCTGGCTCCACAGGAGGATGCTGGCAGCAGACCAGGCTTCCATGGCAGGCTTCTGCCACATCTCTCCCCAAGGAACCTCGAGGAAGTGAATCATCTCCCCGCCAAGCTTCCAGCCCAGCTTTGCTGTAAAGATTCCAAGTGAATGATCTGCCAGAGGTGACCCCTTGAGCTTGAGGCGTCCATCTCACTGTGAGCCCTCAGAGCTCAGCTCCTGCCCCTCCAGTGGGACTTCTTCCACCGGGGAACGCAAGGGAAATGAGCCCAATTAATTCTGGCAGTGGATTATTAGTGCATTAGCCCCTGCCTGAGTGATCACCTTCGGGATGGAGCTGGACATCACTCCGTCTGGACAACTTCACCCCCAGTTGGGGACCCCAAATCAAATTAGAGCATCCGAGATACTGACTGCCCAGCTATCTGTGCCCGTGGGCAGCGCACCCCCGTACCCACATCCCACACGTGTGCTTCCCAGTGGGTGTGCCAGGCTCAAGGTGCAAAGGGATGGGGATGCTTGGGAGCGCAGAGTACAGCAAGGAGGGGTCTGGGGCAGGGAAAAGGACCCCCTGCAGCCCCTCTCACACCAGCCCCATGTCTCTCACAGGGGGTTTGCAGGCTTCAAGGACAGTGGAGCTGCTCCCCAGGGCATTCCCCATGGAGCCCTGGATGAGGAGGGTGACCCTGGGGTCCCCCCATCGCAGTCCCACCAAGCTGGGGCTGGGGGCTCAGGGCTCTCTCCCACTGTGGGCTCTTCACATAGGATGCATTTTTAGCTGCCAGCCTCCAGATCTTGTTACATCTGACAGTCAAAAAGCAAAATCCTGTTCAGATTCCTGGGAGGCAGCCTATCTCCACCGGCACAGCCCCTCACTGCCGCTCACAGCCCCTCACTGCTCCCCACCCCTGGGCCCTGGCCCCGGCCAAGGGCTCCCTGCCTGCCCCAACCCTGCAGGCAGGGACACCCACACCCTCTCCTCTGCCCCAGCTCTACCTTTTCCCATCACTTTCACCTTTCCAGGAAAAGTGGTGGGGAAACTTTCTCCCCTCTCTCCTCCCGTTCAAGGAGAAAGATGCTGGTCCAGGACCCCCTTTTGCCCCCGGCCGTTGCAGCCGGGGCTGTCTCCAAGCGCACGGGCACGGATGTCCCTGCCTTTGTCACCTCTCCAGCGCGCGGCCGCAGGGTGACAGCGCCAGGGGGAGCAGCTGATCCCCCCCGGGCCCCCCGGGCTGAGCCACAGCTGCCAGCAAACGCCCAGCCTGCGCCCGCGCCGCCCTGCCCAAGCATTTGCCGAGCAATCTGGCGGCGTTAAAAATATCCCGAAATATCCCCGAGCCGTGATTCATCCTCCTCTCCCGCCTCCGGCGATGTTAAGCCCCCCCCAGCCCCACTCCCCTCCCGGGGGGCTGCTCCCCCCCGGCTGCTCGGCCCCGTGCTCCGGCCCAGGCGGTTAAATATAGCCGAGCCCTGGCCCTGTGTTGGCAACGCGG